TCTTTGATTTTTTTTCTACAAAAATTTTAGCATTTTTTTGATAAACAAAAATTTTGGGCGCATAAAAGTATGCCTTGAAAAAAATTTTATTTTTGAAAAAAATCTAGAAAAATATTTTATTTCTTACAGAACTCCTAAAAATGATACTCCTTAAATTTTGTTACAAAAAATTGAGTAGTTTTCTATAATAAATAAAATTTTTTGAGCGCCTAAAAGTATGCCTTGCAAAAAATTTATTTTTAAAAAAATTCTAGAAAAATATTTTATTTCTCACAGAACTCCCAAAAATTATATTCCTTAATTTTTCCCTCAAAAAATTTAGCATTTTTCTTTAATAAAAAAATTTTGAGCGCCTAAAAGTATGCAATGAAAAATTTTTATTTTCAAAAAATCGTTATTTTTTTTTAAAGTGTCTTCCAAAATTCTTAGTAAAGTTCTTAGAAATATGGCCTAGAGTTGGAAAAAAAGTACCCAAAAAAATTACAAGGCCCCTAAAAGTATGCATTAAAATTTATTTCTTTTTCCCTAAAAGGCCTTTGAAACTATTTTTTAGTTTTATTTTTCTTCCTTATTGATTGCTTTGCTATTTCTTTGGTCTACAAAAACTCTAATTGGCTTTTGCAGTGGCAGTCTGGCCGTGCATTAAAAAAAATTGAGGAAAAAACTCGAAAAAAAGTAATTAAAGAAATATCTTCATGTTAATTAAAGTTTGTTGCATTGCTGATGTTGTTGTTGCTGTTCCTGCTGTTCAATGGGGATGGTGGTGGTGGTGGTGAGGAGAGGCCTACAACAAAACAAACGCGTAAATTTTCCTACAAATTGATGGCTGTCTACACGCCCAAAGACAGAAAAAAAAAACAACAACAAAAACGAACGGCTCAATAATTATTAAATTAAAAGGAGGAAGAAGAAGCAGCAAAAATTTTTTTCAAAAAAAAACCAAGAAATTAAAAAAAATAAATTTAAAAAATTAAAAAAAATAAAAGTAGGAAATCGAAAAAAAAATTAAATAAATAAAAATATATAAGACATTTGTAAATTTATTGAAAAAAAAATTTAAATCAAAAATTTAAAAAAAAAAATCAAAAATTTTTTTTTGTCAAAAAAAAAAATTTTTTCAAAAAAATTAAAAAATAAAAATATGTAAGACATTTGAAAATTTATTGAAAAACAACCCCGAAATAATAATTAAATTAAAAAGAAGAAGCAGCAAACAAATTTTTTCAAAAAAAAAAAACCAAAAATTAAAGAAATTAAAAAAAAATAAAAATAGGAAAACGAAAAAAAAATTAAAAAATAAACAAGACATTTGCAAATTTATTGAAAAAAAATTGAAATAAAAAAAAATTTAAAAAAATTTAAAATTTTTTTAAAAAATTTAATTCAAAAAAAAATTTTTTCAAAAAAAAAAAAAAAAGAAATTAAAAAAAAAATTATTTCAAAAAAATTAAAAAATAAAAATATATAAGACACTTGTAAATTTATTGAAAAAAAAAAACCGAAATAATAATTAAATTAAAAAGAAGAAGCAGCAAACAAATTTTTCAAAAAAAAAAAAAACCAAAAATTCCAAAAAATTAAATTAATTAAAAAAAATAAAAAATAGGAAATCGAAAAAAATTTAAAAAAATAAAAATAAACAAGACATTTGCAAATTTATTGAAAAAAATTTTGAAATCAAAATTTTTTTTTTTAAAAAAATTAAAAGAAAAATTTTTTAATCAAAAATTTATTGTCAAAAAATTAAAAAAGAAATATTCAAACAAATTTAAATTTATTGAATAAAAAATTAAATAATTTTTTTTTTTCAAAAAAAATTAAAAAAAAAAAAAAAATTAAATTATTTTTTTTTTTTAAAAAAAAAAAACATTTAAATTAAAATTTTTTTTTTTAAAAAATTATTTTTTTTTTAAATTCAAAAAGAAAACACTCAAACAAAATCCCTCAATGAAAAAAAAATTAATAAAATTTTTTTTTCAATTTTTTTTTTTTATTAAAAAATATTTTTTAAATATTTTTTTTTTTAAAAATTCAAAATGAAAACATTTAAACAAAATCCCTCAAACGACATTTTGTAAATTTATTGTAACCAAAAAATTCATTAAAAAAAAATTTTTTTTTGCTCGAAAAAATTATTGTCTGCTGATTTTATGCAGAAATCAAAAATAATTAAAAAAATCACAACAACAACAAAAATATTTTTTGGCTAAATGCCAGTTTATAGATGCTTATTTGCCTGCAATCATCAACTGCACAAAAAAAAAATCGAAAAAAATACAAAAAAAAAAAATCTATCCTCCTAGCCCCCTGGGCCCCAGGCCAGCCAACCCGACCAGCCAGACATCATAGATATATCGACTTGTATGCCGAAATCTATACATTATTACATGTATATGACATTTTGAGTACTACAAGAAGAGGTATAAATTGCATGTCCGCTCGCAACACCATCAGCCAGCCAACCTGCCCCGCCACCAGAAAAACAGCCTCCATATCGTCGGCATCATTATGAAGAATGTCTGCATTACCCCAGCATTCATTAACACAGCAAATGATTTTTTTTTTGCGATTTGCGATTTTTTTTCGCCACACATTGACAGCCAGCAAGACGGGGAACATCTTTGTTGTTGTCTGCATTTCTTAAAGCATTTCGTCAAAATTGTCCCCAATTTGTTTTTTTTTTGTGTTTGGTTCCAAGCAAAAGGAGAAAAAATCAAAAAAAATTTTTTTTTTTTGAAATTGGTGCAGAGGGGTTGGAAGAAGCTGATGGGGGTTTTCTTAGGGGAAGCTGAGGCTTGGAGGAGGTATGCAAAAATGATTTGTTTTGCAAAAGGGGAGTTAGACCCGACCAATCATTACGACCAAAATCCATTACTAATATACAAATATTTATTGTTGTTGTTATTAATGCTATTGTTGTTGTTGTCATCTTAGCTTTTTATTAGCCGTGTGTGTGTGTTAAACATTTGTTTTCCTAGTCGGTGAGGCTGCTACGAATGGCAAAAATGTCTGATTTGTATAAATTTGTAACAAGTTTCATATCGCGCACCAAATATATATTTATAGTTTGACAAACGAAAAAACACACATATTTAAAATCAAAATAGTGTGAAATTCTATGATAAATTTAATGAAATTTATTTGATTAACAAGAACATTAAAAAAACAACAACAACAGCAGCAACAAATCACATTTGACTATAAAATGCAAAACAATTTTAGCATTAAATTAAATTTTAGGTCGAACAGCTCATAGAGCGAAAGACAAAACAAATAAATATTCGAAAAATAAAAATTAGAAAAAACAACAACGTCAACAAATTATAACGACTAAAATTAGTTGGTGATTAAATATAAAATGAAATAAAAAAAAAAATATGAACAAATTAAATATAAAAAATAATATAAAAATACCAAAAAAAAAATGCAAAAATTCCTTCTTTATATAGATTAAAAAATTTAAAATTTTTATTAAGTTCAGTTTTTCCAATTAAAAAAATTAATATTTAAAAAAAACATCAAGAAAAAAATTAAAAAAATAAATAAATTTGAATTTTTTTAACGCTACCTAAAAGTATGCTATAATTTTTAGCAATTTTTTTAAATTCCTTTCCAATATTTTTTGATTTTTTCCTAATATTTAAAAAAAAATATTTCAAGTCCCTATTTCTACGATTTTTCAAAATGGCGCCCAAAAGTATGCCTCATTTTGTTGCAAAAAAAAATATTTCTATTTTTCCTAATGTCTATGAATTTTTCTCCATTTTATGCAATTTTTTCTAACCGAAATTCCAATGTTTTCCTAAATTGGCCCCCAAAAGTATGCCTCATTTTGTGGCAAAAAATTTATTTATATTTTTTCCAAACATTATTTATTTTTCTCAATTTATTGCAATTTATTTAATTCCAATATTTCAACATTTTCCAAATATGGCGCCCAAAAGTATGCTTCTTTTTTCAACGAAAAATTTATTGTTATTTTTCCCAGACACTATTTATTTTTCTCTATTTTATGCCATTTTTTAATTCCAAAATTTCAATTTTTTCTAAAATGACCCCCAAAAGTATGCCTCATTTTGTTGCAAAAAAATAATTTTTATTTTTCCTAGACATTGCATATTTTTCTCTATTTTATGCAATTTTTTCCAACTCAAAATTCCAAAGTTTTCCCAAACCGACGCCTAAAAGTATGCTTCATTTTTCTTTAATATTTTTATTGATATTTTTTCTAATAACTATTGAATTTTCTATCATTTTTGCCATTTTTTCCAACTCAAAATTCTAAAGTTTACCCAAACCGATCCCTAAAAGTATGCTTCATTTTTCTTTAATATTTTTATGGACATTTTTTCCAATATCTATTGAATTTTCTCTAATTTTTGCCATTTTTTCCAACTCAAAACTATAAAGTTTTCCTAAACTGACCCCTAAAAGTATGCTTCACTTTTCTTTAATATTTTTATTGATATTTTTCCCAATAACCATTGAATTTTCTCTAATTTTTGCAATTTTTTCCAACTCAAAACTCCAAAGTTTCCCAAACCGACCCCTAAAAGTATGCTTCATTTTTCTTTAATATTTTTATGGACATTTTTTCCAATAACTTTTGAATTTTCTCTAATTTTTGCAATTTTTTCCAACTCAAAATTGTAAAATTTACTAAAATGACCCCTAAAAGTATGCTTTAGATTTTGCAATAAACAATTATTTTTATTTTTTCTAGTATCTGTAGAATTTTCTCTAATTTTTGCAATTTTTTCCAACTCAAAATTGTAATGTTTACAAAAATTGCCCCTAAAAGTATGCTTTAATTTTTGCATTAAAAATTTATAATTATTTTTTCTAAAATCTCTTGAATTTTATCGAATTTTTGCAATTTTTTCCAACTTCAAAATTCGTATTTTTGAAATTGGGACTCCTAAAAGTAGGCACCAATTTGTTTCCCCTAACTCATGATTTTTTTTTAAATAAAAAAAATTGAATTTTTATTTCCCACTTACCTTTCTTGGGTATCAGCGATTTGAGCAGCATAACAGCATTATCATCGCATGACCAAGCATGCATTTTACGATAGCTATCACGTCCCTTTTCCGTCAACTTATCCCATGGCTTGGGTTTGGAGAGTAATTCGGAAACGGTACCTTGGGATAGGCCCAAAATATATTTGGCGAAAATCCTTTGGCCGATGTTGTGGACCGACAGCAGCTCCCTCACACGCCTGGAGATATGCAATGTATCCAACGCCTGATTGGCATACTTGTCCATGTTGTAACGCAACATCTCCTGCAGCTTGGCTTCCATGGGATCTCCCTTGGGGATTAGGGATTCACCCAAACGGCCAGCCATTGAAGTGCCGGGTGGTAGCTGTAGATCGTCGGCAAAACGGAAATGACCACGATCTTGAAATTGGAATGGTAGACCGGGTAGGAAACCATGGGGCAGGCCGTGGCTGTGGCCATGGCCACTGAGGGGATGATTGTTGCCGGGACTGTTGTTGTTGTCTTCGTAGCTCTTCAGCGAGCCGTTGAGCGAGAGGGATTGGTGGTGATGATGCTGCTGATCCTCCGAACGTTGTTCCTGTAGATTGGGGGTACTGGCACTGGAGGCCGATGATTCGGCATGGTGGTGATGATGATTTCCTGCTCCGGACTTGTCGTGATGATCACCTCCCAGCAGGTGTGAGGACATTTGCAGCTGATGATGATGGTGGTGCTGTTGGTGGTGATGATGGTGGGGCGGATAGTGGGCATCTGTTGAACGTAAAGAGGAATTTTGAGTTGATTGAGTGGTGGTGGTGGTGGGGGGTGTGGAAAAAGTGGAATTAACTAATTGACTAAGCAGAGCTGTGGATGAGGGGCCACAGGGCGGTGTTGAGCCGGCGGCATGCATTAAAGCAGCAGCAGCTGAAGAGGAGGCGGAAGAAGAAGAATTTGACTGATGTTGTTGTTGTTGCTGTTGTTGGAAATGTTGCTGGACGGCGTTTTGTTGTAGCATTAAAGAATGTGGCTGGGCTGTGGCCATTTGATGTTGTTGTTGTTGCTGATGATGTTGCTGCTGCTGATAGTGGTGCTGATGATAGGCCCCCCTATTACGCCAATAATTATTGACCAGCTCCTCACCCAGTAAAGAACCGAAACGTTCAACATTTTGTTTGAAATTGGAGGAGGACTCATCGGCATTTGGATTTTCCTCATCGCCATCCCCCTCCTCCTCCTCCTGATGTTCTAAATTTATGATGCCGGAGGAATTAGAGGATTTTTCTTTAACCTCTTCACCTTCGTCCTCATCATCTAATATTTCTATTTTTGGCACTTTAGAGGCTATTTCAGGTTTGGAGGAGGTTTCATGGTCGCCTTCGTTTGGGCAGAGATTGGCATTATCTGAGATTGTCCTGACTTGAAGTTGTTGTTGTTCTGTGGAAGCTAATGAGGATGTTGTTGGCTGTAAGCTAAGTGTTTCTTCAACCTGGCTTTTATCGAAAGCTTGATCTGTAAATTTGCGGATTTTTTTTGTTTTGTTTTTTTTTTTTTTTTGGAGGAGAAAAGAGAGGGGTAGGGAAAAACAAATATTGAAATATTTTTTGTTTTCGGTATTTTGAATCGTTTGTTGCTTTGGCATGAAAAACTGTGTGAGTGTATAAGGCAAATTAGAAAAGATTTTTTGGAAAAAATTTTGAAATTTTTTTGAAAAAAAAATTGAATTTTTTTGGAAAAATTTTTGAAGTTTTTTTTTCAATTGGGAAAAATTTTGAATTTTTTTCAGAAACAATTATAGATTTTTATTTTGAAAAAAATTTTGAAATTTTTTTTGGGAAAAAAATTTGAAAAAAATTTTTGATTTTTTTTTTTATTTTTTTTTCAATTGGGAAAAAATCTAGATTTTTTTTTTTTTGAAAAAAATTTTATTTTTTTTTTCAGAAATAATTATAGAAATTTATTTTGGAAAAAAATTGGGTTTTTTTTGAAACAATTTAAAATTTTGTTTGTTTGTTTTTGAAAAAATTTTGAATTTGTTTTGGAAAAATTTTTGATTTTTTTTTAAATTGGGAAAAAATGTTGATTTTCAGAAACAATTATAGAAATTTATTTTGAAAAAAATTTTGTTTTTTTTTGAAACAATTAAAATTTTTTTTGTTTGTTTTTGAAAAAAATGTTGATTTTTTTTTTTGGAAAAATTTTTGATTTTTTTTAATTGGGAAAAAATTTGGATTTTTTTTGAAAAAATTTGGAAATTCTTAATTTTTTTTCGTGGAAAAAAATTTGGTATTTTTTTAAAATGGTAAAAAATATTGGAAAATTTTTTTTTGGGAAAAAATTAATGTATTTTTTTATTTTGGATTTTTTTGTAAATAATTTTGAAATTTTTTGAAAAAAATATATTGGACAAAATAAGAACATTTAACAATTTTTATATGATTTCTTTTGGAAATATTATTGAAAATTAAAAAAAAATATTGGAAATATTTTGAATATTTTATTATATTTAATTTAAATTTATTTTGGAAAAAAACTTTCTTTTTTTTTTTTTTTGGAAAAATTTAAATTGTATATTTTTTTTTTTGGAAAAATATTAAAATTTTGAAACAAGAAAATTTAAAAATTATTTTATTTTTTGAAAAAAAAATTCAATATTTTTTTTTTTAAATTTAAAAAAAGTTTTTGAATTTTTTTATTTTTTGCCAATTTGAAAATAAATAAATATTCAATAAAAATTTAAAAAATGATTTAATTTTTGGAAAAAATTTTCAATATTTTTTAAAAATATAAAAAAAATGTTTTTGCCAATTTGAATGTATGAATTCATTTTGTTTGTTTTTGGAAAAATTTTTTAATTTTTTTTTAAATTTAAATTTTTTTTAAAAAAATTTTGCCAATTTGAATGTATGAATTCAAGAAAATTTTGATTTGATTTTTGGAAAAATTTTTTAATTTTTTTTTTAAATTTAAATTTTTTTTTAAAAAATTTTGAAATTTTTTGAAAAAATTTTGGATTTTTTTTTCGATTTATTTGCCAATTTTATCATTTTTAACAGAAAATGAATTCCCTACAAGCCTCCATGCATTATTGAATGAATCATATATTTGATTTTTTTTCAGGTTTTCAAATATTGATTTAAATTGTCTGCGTTAGATAAGCAAAGTGTTTATATAGAAGAAGACACCTTTTATTTTGTCGAATAGCGAGAGAGAGGCGCCATGCTTTTTGTTTGAAAAACTCAAATCAAAATCAAGAAGAAGAAGAACAAGAATGAAGAAAAATCAACAGTCATAAATAAAAGCCGACCCATAGAGCTTGGGCGGAAAGTGTGAAGGAATGTAAAAATTATTGTTAACCACACCAATAATAAAACAACAACAACAACACAAACAACAAGATAGCAACAACAACAGCCATAAATAGTTTCAGTAATTTTTTTCATAATTTTTTTATAATTTTTTTTATAATTTTTTTTTCGCTCGCTTTCCTTCCACATCGTAAAGAAAAATAATAATTTTTCCTTTGTTTTGTCAATCAAGGTAAACAACATAAGGCAGAATGAAAAATATATATATGTTTATAGAAATAAATTTTACAACAACAAAAATAGAAAAAAAAAAATCCGAACGAACTCCAAATGCATGAAAATTAAAAATCATGATGGTGTTTGCTTTAGAATTGTTGTCTCGGCGATAAGAAAAAAATTATAGTGGAATTGTCATCGCTCGAACACTTACCTTCTGAGTTCTTAAGAGCCTCGGCTGCCACCAAGGCCTTGGTACGTTCCATAAGCAATTCCTGGAATTTATTGGGATCATTATTGCAGGCAGCTGCCGCGGCAGCAGCGGCGGCAATGGCATTCTGTTGACTAATGGAATCCAATGAGAGGGGTGATCTGCAAAAAAATTAAAAATAAATTTTAAATATTATTTTATATTATTTTTTTAAAAAAATTTTAAATTTTTTTGAAAAAAATTTTAAAATATTTTTTTGAAAAAAAATTTTAAATATTTTTTTGATAAAATTCTTTAATTTTTTTTAAATATTTTTTTTTAATAAAAAAAATTTAAATTTTCAAATAAATGTTTTCAATTTTTTTTTTTTAGAAAATTTTAAACATATTCCATTTTTTTTTTAAATTTTGAAACACATTTTTTTAAATTTTTTAATGTTTTATAATAATTTATATTTATACATTTTTTAAAAATTTGTTGAATAAAAAAAAATATTTTTTTTTAAATTTTAAAATACATATTTTTAAATTTTTTAAATGCTTTTATTTAATTTTTTTTAATATTTTTATAGATTTTTTTTAATATTTTTTTAAAAATTTTTTTTTCAAATTTATTTTTTAGAAATTTTTCGAATTTAAAAATATTTAAATATTTTTTTCAAAAAAAAAAAAAAAAAAAAAAAATTAATTTATTTATTTTTTTAATAAAAAAAATATTTAAATTTTCAAATAATTTTTTTCAATTTTTTTTAAATTAAAATTTTTTAATTTTTTTTAAAATTTTTTAATGTTTTTTTAAAAATTTTTAAACCTTAAAATAAATTTTTTCAATTTTTTTTAAATATTTTTTTTCATAAATTTTTGAATTAAAAAAATAGTTTTTTAAATTTTAAAATATATTTTTTTTACATTATTAAATATTTTTTACGATTATTTTTAATATTATTATTGAATATTTTTTTAAAAAATAATATTTATTAAATTTTAATATATATATTTTTTTAATTTTAAATATTTTTTACGTAATTTTTTTAAATACTTTTTTTTGAATACTTTTTTACAAAATTTTTTTGAATTAAATATATATATATATATATATATATTTTTTTTAATTAAAAAAATCCAATTTTTTTAAATATTTTTTAAAATATTTATTCAAATTTTTTTTAAATATTTTTTTTTAAATTTTTTATTGATTTTTTTTAATATTTTTTTTCAAATTTCTTTTAAAAAAATTTAACATTTTCTAATTTTTTTTTAATTTTTAAAATTTTTTTTTTAATTTTTTAATGTTTTTTAAACATTTTTAAACCTTAGAATAAATTTTTTAAATTTTTTTTTAAATTTTTTTTTTTTTAAAAAAATTTGAATTAAAAAAAATATTTTTTACAATTTAAAATATTTTTTTTTTTCAATTTTTAAATATTTTTATTAAATAATTTTTTTTCAAAATTTTTTTGAATTAAAAAAAGATTTTTTTAAATTAAAAAAAAATCCAATTTTTTTAAAATATTTTTTCCAAATATTATTTTAAAATATTTATTCAAATTTTTTTTTTTTTTAATTTTTTTCAAAAAAATTGTTTAAATATTTAAAAAAAAAAAATTTAAATATTTAAAAAAAAAATTTAAAATTTCAAGTATTTTTTTTTAAGTTTTTAACATTTTCTATTTTTTTTTTAATAAATTTTTTAAATTTTTCTTTAGAATTAAAAAAAATATTTTTTTTGAAATATTTTTTCCAAATATTTTTTTAAATATTTTTTCAAAATATTTTTTTCCAAATATTTTTTTTAAATATTTTTTCCAAATATTTTTTTTAAATATTTTTTCCAAATATTTTTTTTTTTAAATATTTTTTCCAAATTTTTTTTTTTTTTAAATATTTTTTCCAAATATTTTTTTTAAATATTTTTTCCAAATATTTTTTTAAAATATTTATTCAATTTTTTTTTTTTCAAAAAAAAAATATTTTTTTTCCAAAAAATGTTTTCATTATTTTCAAAAATTTTTAAATATTTTTTTGTCAATTTTTTTTATAATTTTTTTTTATTAATTTTTTGAATTTAAAAAAATATTTTTTTTCACTTACTGTGTCTCCTTTTTGACCTTGATGAATGATGAATCCTTTTCCACCTCGCCATTATTCGCATTTTGATTCTGTTCATTGTCATTGTTGTTCTCCTTGTCCAAATCCTCATCGTCGTCCTCCTCTTCGTCGTTATCATCACAGTTATTGTTGGTGTTGTTGTTGTTGTTGCCTTCATGGCATTCAACAACTTTTTCCTCATTATGCTGTTGCACTTCGTCGTCGTTGTCCCGTTGAAGTTGCACTTCGTCCTGCTCCTCCTCATCATCATCATCGTCTATGACCATTTGTGTCATTGCCGCTGAGTCGGAGGTGGATTCCATTTTTTGATTCGTTTGCGATTTCATGGCCTCCTGTAAGGCTTCGTTAATTTGCTCCTTATCCAATTTGGCTTCCAGACGTTCGATGTGTTGGCGTTTGGCTTCCAAATGCTCTTCCAAACGATGGATTTGTACCAAGTGGGATTGTTCGATGGCTCGCAAACGTTTGACTTCTTCGAATAAGGCTTTGATCTGGAAATGGAAAAAAAATTGTAATTAATAAAAATTGGTTCTAAAGATAACAAGCTTTTTTAAAAAAAAATAAATTTAATGAGCCAAGTTTTTTTCGAGACCCTGTTTTTTCCTCACTCCCCTCTCTCTCCCCTCTCTCTCCCCTCTCACTCCCTCCCTTCCACAAAAATCAGCCCATCTTTCACATATGCTGTCATTAAGTTAAAACTTTGTCTTTTGTTGTCGTCATTTTTGTTACCCCCTTAAGGATTTATTGAAATTTCCGGGAAAACAAAATTTTGCCAATTATCATATTTTCATTATCAAACAGCAACAACAACAACAACCACACATTTTGAAAATTCTTTAGAAAAGTTGTTCGGCTGTCTGCCTACCTTTTTAACATACCTTTTGTGTGTGTGTATTACCCTTATGTTTTAATTTTATTATTAATAAAAAAATAAAAAACAAAACAACAAACCCCCCAAACGCCCTAATGTATGCTACACACACACACATACATGTGTGTATGTGTGTGCGCCCAGGAATCCTTGCCGTAATGTCTTCAAGATTTCGTTTTTGATTTTCACAACCACAAAAGAGGTGGTTGGTTGGGTTTTGCTTTATAGTTATTACTCTTGTTGTTGGAATTTTACAAAGGTAGTCTGAACAATAGGCACAACAAAAATTTATCTGCCAGCCTAAAAGTATGCTCTAAGTTTTGTTGTTGATTTTTTTATTAAATATTAAAAAAATATATATGATATGGGTAATATGTGTTGATTTTTATGAGGGTAATTTTTCTGGGGGATGGGAGAGAGGGAGGCAATCAATTAAGGGGGGAAATACATATCTATTTAATTATTGTTGCATACTTTTGGGTAACAAAAATTTTTTTCTTCAAGGAAAAAAATTTACAAAAATATTAAAAAAAAATTTAGAAAGACAAACAAAATTGAAAAAAATAAAAAAAATCAAGAAAAAATTGTTTGTTGCCTATTTTCAGGCCAAAATTTTTTTGTAGAGAAAAAAAAAATTCACAAAAAAAGTAGTTTTTTCTAATGAAAAATATTTAAAAATGGCAAAAAAAAATTTAAAAATGTAATTACTAAGAAAATTTAAAGAAATGCAAATTTTGAAAATTTTTTGTTGCCTACTTTTAGGTACAGAAAAATTTCTTTTCAAGAAAACCTTTTAGGAAAATTAAAAAAAATATATTAAAAAAAATTAAAAAATCGTAGTAAATAAAAAAATTCAAGAAAAAAATAAATAAAAAAAAATTCGAAATTTTTGTTGCCTACTTTTAGGTACACAATTTTTTTTATTAATACAACCATTAAAAAAATGTAAAAAAAATTACGAAATAAATTAATTGTTGTAATAAAATGTATTTAATATTGTAATAAATAAAAAATTATGGAAATAAAAATATTGGACATTTTTGTTGCATACTTTTAGGTAAAAAAATAATTCTTTTTAAGACAAAATATTTACAAAAATCCAGGAAACCCTTAAAAACAATCCAATGAAATATTGGAAAAAAATCGAAATTGTTTTAATGTGAAAATTTAAAGAAAATCAAATTTTGAAATTTTTTATTGCCTACTTTTAGGTACAAAAAATTTATTTTTGTTGCCTACTTTTAGGTAACAAATCAATTTTTTTTTTTTTTGAAAAAAAATTAAAATCCTCAAAAAAATTAGGAAAACCAATGTACAATTTTAAAAAGTAAACAATTAAAGAAAAAAAATTTCAAAATTTTTTTGTTGCATATTCTTAGGAACAAATTTTTTTTCAGAAAAAATATTTAAAAAATCCACAAAAAATTGGGAAATATTTAAAAAATTAAAAAAAATAAAAAAAATTCGAAAATTAAAAAATATATTGCCTACTTTTAGGCGATAATTTGAATTTTATTTTTTGCCTACTTTTAGGTGTCTTTCTTTTAGAGATTATTTATAAAGCAAAATAATAGTATTAATATTTTTTTCTTTTTGAATTCCTAATAAAAATCCCCAATAAATTAACCTTCCAAAAAAATTTGTTTCCACCTGCCAACTGTCACACAAAAATGACTTTTTGATATATTAGTTTATGACTGGTACTTAAATATCATTATACTAATATTATTCTACAACAACAACAAAAAAACTCTATTTGTAGATTCCCTTGCCTCATAGGTGAAAGTTTTACTATTCAAAAAAAAAAAAAAAAAAAAACTATAGCATACTATTAGGCTTCATACGATTTTGCGTGTCTTTACGCAATAAGTCTTTGAATTTATGCCTATAAGGGGTATGTAGATGACGACTGTGTATGTGACACATATGCAAAGTTAATCAATAAATTGTCGATGTGTGTGTGTGTGTGAGGCAGGTTGTCAACTACGCATTTAAATCAATGATAATAAATTTTTGTTTTATGGTAATTTTTTCCCTCAAAGCTGGAACAGGAAAGGGATAGGGGGAACACCAAGCCCTAATATGATTATTGCCAATAAACAATAAAATGTTGCCAAAGCAATAAACTGCAATTATTTGAATTAAAATCCAATAAAAAATCATGTATGACATACATTAAGAACAGGCACAAACAAAACTTTAAGCATTTTCTTTAAGCCATGAAAAAATCAATGGGGGAGGGGTACAGATACAGGTAACACACACATGTGTGGTGTATAGAATATGACCATACCAGAAACAGGGTTGATTGCTTTCATTAATTAATCAAATGGGGGGCAGAAGGCAGCTGTTCTCAAAGGGTGAAATAGAAATTCTCTCTTGACTTAACTCAAAAAAAAAAAAAAAATAAAATTACAAAGTCTCGATTTAAAAATCAAAATTTATTTCAACCCCTTTTTCTTTGGAGAATCTTCTCAAGTTCTTAAGTAATTATTTATAGACAATCAAAGCCATTTGCTTCCCCTCCTCCACCTCGCCTTTTCAAAAAATGATTTAAACTTTACTCATCAATTGGCCAGGCAGGCAGGCAGGAAGGTGGTGGTGGTCGGTCCTGTCAAATCCATTTTCCCTGGCAAATCAAAACAATCAATGATTTTTGTTATGGCAGTGGTTGTCTTGTATTTAAATATGTATTAAAGGATCTTTGTCTTAGTAACACCAATACCACCATCACTATTTCTCACCACTCCCCCCTCCTCTTTCTCTCCCATTTGGGCATCCTCAAAAATATTCCCATTGAATATTCAAATAGTAACCAAATGCCAATTATTAATGAATTTCTTTGTTGATTTGTAGTCAAACTCTTAGTGGGCCAGGATTCCTCCTCTGGCCAGGATGTGCTCCTTTATATTTTCTAATCAATGTTCAAAATAATTTTCTGCTATTAATTTGAAATATTGTTTTCACTTTGGACTATTTCTTTGTCCTGCAGAAGGTAAATGTGCTGGAAAATCAATGCTTGAAGAGGGGAAGAAGGGGGAGAAATTAAAATTTATGAACAGCATAAATTTATTGGAGAGATGAAGAAAAACATTTCCAACATAAAAATTAAGGCTTTAAAAAATATTTTTATGGGTAGCATTTTTGGAAAAGTTTTTATTAGATTTAGACATACAACACATTTTATATAAACAAAAAAATTAATTTTTTTTTTTGAAAAAAAAAACATTTTTATGAAAACCCACTTGGCAGCATTTTTTTGAAAACTTCTAGAAAAACAATTTTTAAAAATAATTTAATGATTATTTCATTATTTTATACACAAAAAAATATTTTTTTAACTTTTCCAAAAAGGTGATGCCAATTTCATTCGTAAAATATTAAAAAAATTCGCAAAAAAATAATTTTTAATTATAATTAAATAATTTTTATGACTCCTAAATTATTTTTTACACAAAAAATATTTATTTTGAAATTTTCAAAAAAAAGTGATGCCAATTTTATTAAGAAAAAATTCTAAAACTTCTAGAAAAAAAATATTTTTAACAATAATTTAATATATTTTAATGACTTCTCCATTATTTTTTACACAAAAATGTACATTTATTTCAAATTTTCAAAAAAAGTGATGCCAATTTTATTTCAAAAAACATCTATAACTTCTAGAAAAAATTATTTTTAATAATCATTTAATAATTCTTTGACTCCTATATTATTTTTAACACAAAAAATATATATTTTTAATTTTCCAAAAAAAAGTGGTGCCAATTTTGTTTGGAAAAAAATTCAAAAAATTTAAAAAATTCATATATTTCACTATTAAAACGATTTTTTATTATAAAAAGTATTATTTTCATCTTATTCCAAAAAAGTGATGCCAATTTTTTTCCTAAAAATTTAATTTTTTTATAATTTATTTACATAAAATCGAGAAATTTATTTTTTAGTGGTCCAACTTTAATAAAAAAAAAATAAAATAAAGTTGTGGTGACTTCCAACCAAAAAATAAAGTAACAACCCTTTTTATCTTTGTTTTGTGGCAGCACTTGACCATTTTTCGCCAAACAAAAGCCGAGCAATAATTCTGTTTTATAATTGTTTGATATAGACAGCGGTCTTACATGTGAGTGGTCAGTATTTTTTCCTCTTTTTTGTGAAATCATTGATTTATTAAAAATTTCCTCTTACACCTCCCCCCCAAAAAAAACCAAAGCCAAGGGTTATCTTAAAAACCCTCGAAATAACAAAAATGACATTCAAAAAAAGGAATTGATCCTTTTTTTCTACACAAATCAAACCACAGAAAAAAGGAGAAGAATCGGTAACAAATTTATTAAAAATCCTTTTTATTTCACATATGAGGAAAAAGTTGTTTTGTTGTTTTGGCAACCTTCCACCCACTCCCCCCACCATAACAACAAAAACAAAAATTTTTGGTTATCAAAAACTGGACATTGAAGGATGTCCATTTCTTTTTTGGTTGGATTCGATGATGACGATGGTGGTGTAGACCCAATTCATAATTTTCACAAAAATCGAAATTATTATTTGCCTAACATTGAGGTAAAATTAATGTGAGGGGGCAGGGAGGCCTTAACAAAAAAACAACCCTTTCAGTTT